AAACACTCTCTTACACATATATATATATATATATATATATATATATATATATATATATATATATATATATATATATATATATATATATATATATATCGAGCGTGAGACTAAATATTAATGAATGATTAGACAGCGATCATATAACTGATGATAAGATATATGTCCTACAAACAACAAATATCACTAGGATATATTCTAACTCATGATTATAATACTATGTTAAGAAGTGAATTAATAAGTCTAACTCAACCTTACAAAAACGGCTTATAAAACAAGACTTTCCAACAACAATTAAAAATAACATTAATAAAGAGTGTTATCCAATCAAGCATATTAGGTCATCAACATTAGTCCATGTGTTTTTGGTCTAGTTATTTTCGACCATGCTAGATTTTTTAGTTAATCTTACCATGTTCCTTAAACATTATGTATTTGTTTTATATTTATATTGTAATTGTCCATGAATATACATTATCTTAAATTATCAATAAAATTAATTTTGATTATTTTTAGTGTACTTTACAATTTTATTTATTTCTTATTGTAAAAAAATCCAATAAATTAAAAAATTATGAATGTAGGTAAGTAATTATAAATAAAGGAGGTTTCAAACCTTAACAAAATAAGTCACTAATAGAAAAGGTTAAAACCCTCCAGAAAAAATCTCCAAAATATAAATTTAATACCAGATATCATAAAAAAACTTCCAATTGCGGTGACTTTAAGTGTGTAAGTTTGAAAATTTTCCACAAATTGATTTGCATAGAGTAGAAATATTCTCAATATTAAAAAAAAAAAAGAGCCACTAAATAACAATTTATTTTAGTGTTAGGCCCACAAAGTACAAAAACCTATACAAGTATTATTAGTGAAGTATAACATCTTATTCAATTATTATAACATTTATTATGTGTGGCCTATTGTTGTCAAGGTAGTTTTGCATATTCTCTTATCAAAGACTAGGGAGATCAAGCTCTCGTGTATTGAGAACACGTGTATTTCAAATAATTTATTTTTTAAACTAACCTAATAAAAAAATAAGAGAAGTTAGCAAACTTACTTCTTTTTAAACAAAGTCACAAAGCTATAAAATAAGTTTTAGGTATATTTCCTCAGAAAAAAAAATGTGTTACTAAACATTTAACAGTTTGTATGGAGATACTTTTAACTTGTCATATTTAAAGTAATCCATCTAATTTTAACAGTTAACGATACAATTTCCATAAAACATGATACGTTGGTCAACATGGTAAAAGTCAATTTTCTTTTCATTGGAATCAACAAAAATGCATGTGTAACATCTGTAACAAAAAGAAAATACAACCATGTGATGTAAATGACCAAACAAACAAAATATACCATGCATTGGCTACCTACAATGCAAACACAAAAAATGCATGCAATAAGGAGCAAATATACATACACTATTTGAATTCTCATGGCTTTGTATAAAATCTCCCACTTCGGAGACAGAAGTTTCATCTCAGATAAAATGTCTATAATAGCAGAAGCACCTAAATTTCTTCAAGTTTACTCAAATGGTTCTGTGAAACGCTTCGACCCTGAAACTGCCTCAGCCTCCTTAGAATCAACCAATGGGTACAAATCAAAGGATGTGATCATAGACTCATCAAAAGGTATCACAGGAAGAATCTTCCTTCCAAGCTTTCCAACTTCCTCAAAGAAGCTTCCTCTCTTGGTTTATTTCCATGGTGGTGGCTTCTGCATTGGATCCACCGCATGGCTTGGCTACCACACTTTTCTTGGTGACTTCTGTGTCACATCTCAGTCCATTATCCTTTCTGTTGACTATCGTTTGGCTCCAGAACACCGTCTCCCTATTGCCTATGAAGATTGCTACGCCTCACTTCAATGGCTGAGTGAACAAGTTGGTTCTGAATCTTTGCTTCAACAAGCTGACACAACTAGGGTTTTTCTCTCAGGAGATAGTGCAGGAGGTAACATTGCACATCATGTTGCAGTGAAGGCAATTCAAAGCCCTGCATGCCCTTTGAGAATCACTGGGTTGATGCCAATACATCCCTATTTTGGAAGTGAGAAAAGGACCGTGAAAGAGATGGTTGATGAAAGCAAAGAGGATGTAACCATGAATGATATGTTTTGGAGGCTGAGTATACCAGAAGGCTCAAACCGTGACTACTATGGTTGTAACTTTGAAAAACATGACCTAGGTAACACTGTTTGGCTTAAATTTCCACCAACTGAGGTTTATGTTGCTGGTGAAGATTTTCTGAAGGAAAGAGGAGTGATGTATGTGGAGTTTCTAAAGAACAAAGGAGTGAAAAAAGTGACACTTGTGGAGGCAAAGGAAGAGTCTCATGTATTTCATGTATATCATCCTCAATCTTCTGCAGCTCGTTTACTGCAAACTCAAATGACTAGATTCATAGAAAAATATTAGCTTCAACTACGAGTCTTACATAAAGATGTTTTTTTAATGTCAATAATAAATTCATCAAAGAATAAAATATATTTTGTCATTAATTGTTTTGTTCGTAGTTTTATAACTGTTAAATTTTTCACCATGTAATCTTTGTATATGTATAAATTGTATAATTTTATTTTTTTTTGCATTCATATGCTGGTTGTGTATGTAGGTTAATAGTTAACCTAACTCATTTATTATGATAATATAAATGATTTGATAATATTGTTTGTAACTTGTTTATGTATTTGTTCTTGTACTGATAAATAATAGGTTAACATTTTTTTTTCTTCGTTTGTTTCAGTCAATGAACATTAGAAAGTTTTTCCTTGACTTCTCCCAATAAAAGACAACTTAAAGTCTCAAACTAAAGATTAGTTTTTCTTCATGAATAATCGATTTATAAAATTACGTTCTTAACAAAAAAGACTACATAGGGTTACTATAGAAAACAAAATTATAAATTTTGAAACGTAAAGAAGGAAAATGAAAATTCCTAAACTTATAAATATCTTAATAAAAAATATATAATTGTAAGATATGTTGAACATTTTGAGTTCATAATTTAGAAAAAAAAAAGTGATTTAATTAATGTATGAAATTTTTTATTAGTTACACTTTTTTATGGACGAATATAAAAACTCTTGAACAAAGAACAACATGAAAAGATTGCAAATGGATAAAGAAGTTTTGATGAGGAAGGTTCAAGTAGAAGTAAGTCTTAAAGATGTTCAATAAGCTTGAAGACATGTATTTATGCAAAAATTGTTATAATAGAATAGGAAGATGTCTTACGACAAAATAGAATCTTAGATAACTTGAAGAATCAAGTTGAAGGCATATGCAGACAATACCAAAATTACCTTGGAGAAGTAAGTTTTTCAAGTAAAATTTACTCAACAATCAATTGTACAATTGATTGTCTTAAGTTCTAGGCAAGTTCCAATCTCGATTGTAATGAATTTGACAGCTTTGATTTTTTCCACTATTTTCCTCATAACTTTTTCCATAAATGAGGTTATTCTTGTTGGTATTGGATTGTATTAAAGACATTTAATTTGAATACTAAAACATATTTTTGTTGGAGTTATAAACTATATGCAATTCAATTTAAAAAATAACAAATGTTTTTCACATAACCCATTGATCCAATCCACTGTATGAAAAACAATCAATTAACCATACTTTATGGGAAACATATAATCAATTGACACCAAGTTCTAATCAATTATTTGTAAAATGGAGGACTCAATGAAATTTGAAGTTGTCTTCCAAAAATCCACCTCACAATTGATTATATGCATAACAATCGATTCCAAATGCTTTATGGACAGCTATAATTGATTGTACAATCGATTATCTTAACTTTGACATTTGCTCAATATTTGGCCATAACATTTTTTATAGAACTCCAAACCAATTCATTATATTTTTCGCTTGAAACTAGACTAAAAAATATTTAATTCGAGTACTATAATATATTTTTAAGAACTATACAAATAAAATAATTTATTTCAAAAATATAGAAAGCATTACTATTTCCATGTTTTAAAAAAAATAAAACGTATAATCGATTTTCCAATCAATTGGGTAAAGTTATAATCTATTTCACCTTTAATATTAACTAGCCATTTTCAAACGTTGTAAGTGGGAAACTTTTTCTATAATGGCTATAACTTAGTTTTT